ATCTAACATGCTCTTCGCACCTTAGTGCTCGAGCATGGAGGGCTATGTACCGTGGTGGTCTCCCATTGGCCGACCATATTGGCCGATCCAAGGCACGTCAGTAAAATACCGATCTAACATGCTCTTCGCACCTTAGTGCTCGAGCATGGAGGGTTATGTACCGTGATGGTCTCCCATTGGCCGACCATATTGGTCGATCCAAGGCACGTCAGTAAAATACCGATCTAACATGCTCTTCGCACCTTAGTGCTCGAGCATGGAGGGTTATGTACCGTGATGGTCTCCCATTGGCCGACCATATTGGCCGATCCAAGGCACGTCAGTAAAATACCGATCTAACATGCTCTTTGCACCTTAGTGCTCGAGCATGGAGGGCTATGTACCGTGGTGGTCTCCCATTGGTCGACCATATTGGTCGATCAGAGGCAGGTCAGTAAAATGCCGATCACACAAGAGGGATCCAAATATGGGGAGATTAACTGGCTCACTCGGACAATCAATAAGATCCCACGATCCGTGGGAACGGTAATAAATACCGGGAGTTACGAGTCCATAATGGGGCGTGATTTATGGGATTATAAGTGCGATTCATGTCTATAACGTCACACCGTTATATATAGCAATGATTAGGTCTAAGACGGCAGATTACTCTCATCGAATGTTCTAGGTCAAGACTGCTGTCAAGTTCTTTTAGCTCGGTATTGCTAAGGGTTCTTCGGTAGCAGTTGCCGCAATCTATTGTATAGTTGAATCTGTTCCTCATCGAATGCTCCACTCTCTCTCCGCTCTCCGCCGCCGCCGCCGCCGCCATTTCTCAACCTGCACCATCAGCTTCCCTTCCCTTCTCCGCCCCAACGCCTCTCTCAGGCCCCATCTCTCCGACCTCGCCCTCGCGCTCCCCGAAGCCACCCGCACGTGCTGGCGCCTCCCCGCGCCGGGCCCCTCGCACGTGCTGCACCTCTTGCTCGCTTCCCGCTCCCACTTTCTCACGCCCCAAAAGGTTCGATCTTTGTGGCAAGTTTTCAAATGGGTCGCTCGCGGAAACGCGCATTTCGCTTCCCAGCAGCACCTCTCGCAGTCGCGCGAAATCATGGCTTCGCTGGTCGTGCGAGCGGGGCTGTTCAAAGAAGCCGAGGAGCTGCTTTTCGCGGTGGAAAGTGATCATTTTTTTGATGATCTCGTTAAAGGGTATGTCGCCGCGAGAGATTGGGAAAAGGGTGTTTTTGTTTATGATTTTATGAAGGGTAAAGGGAAGGTTCCTTCGAGGGGTTGTTATGGGGTTTTGGTTGATCTCTTGGTAAAGGTGAAAAAGACGGGTCTTGCATCTCGGGTGGGTTTTGATTTGGTGGGTTTGGGTGTACCGTTGAGTTTTGAGGAAATGAGGGTATTGGAGAAGGTTATGGTGTTACTTTGCGTTGATGGGAAGATTCAGGAAGCTAGGAACATGGTGAAGAAGGTGTTGGTTCTTAACACTGGGGTTAGTGGATTGGTTTTTGATGAAATTGCGTTTGGATATTGTGATAGGAAGGACTTCAAAGATTTGATTAGTTTCTTTGTTGAGGTGAAGTGTGCCCCTAGTGTGAGGGTTGCTAATAGAGTCATGGATTCGTTGTGTGTGAGTTATGGTGTAGAGAGGGCAAGGTTGTTTTTGCTAGAGCTAGAGAGTTTAGGTTTTAGTCCTGATGAAGTAACCTATGGGATATTGATTGGTTGGAGTTGTCGCCAAGGGAAGATGAAGAATGCGTTGAGTTGTTTATCAGTTATGCTGTCGAAAAGCCTTGTGCCGCGTGTTTATACTTATAATGCTCTTATAAGTGGGTTGTTTAAGGTAGGTATGTTGGATAGTGCATGGGACATTCTTGATGAAATGACTGAGAGGGGGACACGGCCTGATATTTCGACTTTCAGAGTTCTTATAGCAGGGTATTGTAAGTCTAGGCGGTTTGATAAGGTGAAACTTTTGATTGGTGAGATGGAGAACTGTGGATTGATTAAACTTTCTTCGGTGGAGAATCCGATTTCAAAGGCTTTTCAGATTTTGGGCTTGGACCCTTTGAGTGTGAAGTTGAAACGAGACAATGATGGAAGACTTTCGAAAACGGAGTTCTTTGATGATGTTGGAAATGGACTTTATTTGGATGCAGATGTTGATGAGTATGAGAAGCACATTACCTTGGATCTTGAAGAATCCATGCTACCCAACTTCAATTCAGCTGTTAAGAAGGAGTTGTGCAATGGTAACCTAAAAGATGCATTGGTTTTGGTTGAAGAAATGCTTTGGTGGGGACAAGAATTGTTGTTGCCTGAATTCTCGAAGTTAGTGAGGCAACTTTGTTCATCTCGGTCACAAATCAAGTCAGTGACCAATCTTTTGGAGAAAATGCCTAAGTCTGCCCATAAACTTGACCCGGAAAGTCTCAATTTGGTTGTACAGGCATACAGCAAGAAAGGCTTAATGTGTAAAGCGAAAAATATACTGGATGAAATGCTTCAAAACAAATTTCATGTCAAGAACGAGACATATACTGCCATATTAACGCCTTCATGCAAGAAAGGAAACATGAAGGACTTCAATTATTACTGGGATGCTGCTTGCAGAAATAAATGGTTACCAAGCTTGGATGACTTTAAACGTCTTGTTGTCCATATCTGCCATCAGAAAATGCTCAAGGAAGCATCACAGTTTCTTGAAATCATGCTTTTATCATACCCTGACCTAAAGTCAGATGTATGCCATGTGTTTCTAGAAGTACTTTCTAGTAGGGGCCTTACAGACACCGCAATTGTAGTTTTAAAGCAACTACAACCCTCTTTCATCATGGATCATGCTGGTTATAATATTCTTATAAGGGGCTTATGTAATGAGGAAAAATTTTCTCTAGCCTTTACAATGTTGGATGATATGCTAGATAGAGATTTGGCACCTAGTTTGGATGTTTCGGTCTTGTTAATCCCTCAATTGTGCAAGGCTCATAAATATGACAATGCTATTGCATTGAAAGATATCATTATGAAAGAGCATCCTTCTTTTTCTCAGGCTGCAGATTGTGCATTGATATGCGGATTTTGCAATATGGGGAGCATAGGGAAAGCTGACGCTCTGTTCCGTGATATGTTGTCTAAAGGGTTTAGTCCAGATGATGAACTGTGTAACGTGCTTATTCGGAGTCACTGCCAAGCTAATGACTTGAGAAAAGTTGGGGAGCTACTTGGTGTTGCAATAAGAAAGGATTGGGAGCTATCCCTCACTAGTTACAGGAATTTAGTGCAATCAATTTGTAGGAAAGGTAGAGTCAGGTTCGCTCTAAGCTTAAAGAACCTTATACTTGCGCAATATGCACTTGATGGCCTTATCATATATAACATTCTTATCTTCTATCTTTTGTCAGCTGGAAACAGTTTGGTTGTTAATAAGATACTAACTGAAATGGAAGAGAAGAAAATTGCACTTGATGAAGTTGGTCATAATTTTCTTGTATATGGTTTCTTGCAATGTAAAGATTTATCTAGTTCTCTGCATTATCTAACTAACATGATTTCAAAAGGACTCAAACCAAGTAACCGAAGTTTGAGGAAGGTAATAAGCAGCCTGTGTGATGCTGGGGATCTGCAAAAGGCCTTGGAATTGAGTCAAGAAATGAGATTAAGAGGCTGGATGCATGATTCTTCAGTTCAAACTTCTATTGTTGAAAGCCTTCTTTTGTGTGGTAAGATACAAGAAGCAGAAACCTTCTTGGACAGGATGGGAGAGGAATCTCTGACTCCTGATAATATCAATTATGATTACCTGATTAAGTGTTTTTGCCAGCATGGAAGATTGAACAAGGCAGTTCATCTTGTGAATACAATGCTGAAGAAACAAAACATTCCAATTTCCACCAGTTATGACTTTCTCATTCATGGATTCTGTGCACAAAATAAATTAGACATAGCTTTGAATTTTTTCTCTGAGATGTTGAATTGGAATCTCAAACCAAGAATTGATACAGTGGAAATGCTTGTCCATAGATTCTGCCAAGATGGGAAGACAGAACTTGCAGAACAATTCCTAGTGGACATGACTCATGGAGGTGAAACTCCATCCAGAAAAATGTATTGCACTGTGATTAAGAGTTATCACATGGAAAAGAATCTTAGGAAGGCATCAGAGCTCATGCAAGCCATGCAGGAAAGTGGCTTTCAGCCTGACTTTGAGATACATTGGTCCCTCATAAGCAACTTAAACAGTGCCAAAGCAAAGGACACTGCAAAGGGGACCAAGGGATTTTTGTCAAGTCTTCTTTCTAGAAGCGGCTTTCTTCAAAAGAAATGATTCAGAGAAATAGCCCTTCTGTTGTCAAAGGGGTATTTGTTGGTTGCATTTGCAAGTACAATGCCCATTGGGCTTAATTTTTGGGGAAAATTGTTGTGCATAACAATATTTATTAAAGATCAAGAGGATCGTTTAACCACTTTGAGTGTACCAATTCAATTGTAAAGTGAGTTTAACCTCTTTCTATATTTGGATTGGGGACTTCTTGTAAAATTCAGTTTTGGAATAAAATTCACATCTTTAGTTTCTATGTACTATGCATTAATTCTATAGTTCTCGGAAAATAAAATCAAATAGGTGCGACTGAGAATATACAATATATGAGAGTGAATTTACTTATTTTAAAAGTAAGTTTAAATAGATTTATTTAACTTAATAATGCATATTTTATATAAAATTTTAATGATTCAATTGTTAAATAAAATTTTTTTAATGTATAAATTAAATTTGTAACTTTCTATAAAATTTTAAAAAGGCTTAAATATGCTTTTAGTCCCTCAAATTTAGGGTAAATCTATTTTTGATCCCTCAAATTTAAAATTATTGTTTTTAGTCCCTGTAATTTCAAAAAATCTTAATTTAGTCCTTATATTCAAATTTTGTTAAGAAATTTATCAAACATTATTGCATAAAATCTACTTATTGGTGTCCCTATTGGTGAAAATATCACATTAAATCCGGTTGATATTGCATAAATGTCTTAATTAGTCACTTTTAAATATGTTATTGGTGACCTAAGAGACTAAAACAAAATTTTTGAAAATTACAGGGACTAAAAACAACAGTTTTAAATTTGAGGGACCAAAAACAAATTTATCTTAAATTTGATGGACTAAAAACATATTTAAGCCTTTTAAAAATCATATAATATTTTCTTATTTCTGTTAAAATTTATTGTAAATCATCATAAAATAAGGAGAGAAACATTAAATATAATGTTGAATCACTAAGTTTGTATTTTTTTTAATAAATTTAATGAGTGAGAGAATGTGCGTTTAAAAGAGTATGATAGATAAAATGTTGTTAGCATTTCTCTATATTTTTAAATAAAAAGTTTCTATTTTTTATTCATTAATAAGTACACTAATAGGATATTTAATACACATTTTTTTTATGCTTTTACATGATTTATAAGAATCATAAATCTTAAAATTATGATTCCTAAAAATCATGAAAATCTTGATCATAAGTGTTTGTGATATTGTTTTTAAGTGTTGTATGAAATTAAAGATTTTATTAAATTAAATATTATATGAGAATATTTTTATTGTATTAAAACTATTTTTATTTTAGGAAAGTTAGTTTTTTATCTTGCCATGAAAATAACTTCGTAAAAACATATGTAAAATGACTTTTTTTCGACAAAAAAAAAAAACTTAAGCATAAGTGCTTATGAAAATGTTTTCCAATAATATCATTTTTAAATAACAAATCAAAGTTAAAAAATTAACATTCTTGAAAAAGTAAAAACTTTTTGTACTTAAAAACACTTGTTTTAACATAGTTGCCATTAGAGATGAAAATATGTTAGATTAAATTTGATTTTGATTATAAAATTAAAATATAAATTTGACATATTATTTTTCATAATTTTTTTTCCTAAACTTGACCTAATCTTTTTAAAAATCTAATTTAACTTATTAACTCACTTTAAAGTCTATTTTATATTAATAATATTAAATAAATTAAATTTTAAATAACAAAAAAATTTATTTTTAAATATGTGTGTGAGTGTTTATTTATTTTAATTTTGTTAACAAATAGTATATTATATTATTATTATTACTATCATTATTAAAATTTAAAATAAAAACAAAAAATTAATATAAAAAACCTAACTTTTTTTAAATAAATAAATTTTTAAAAATTTAAATTTAACCCCTTTAATTAAATAGATCAAACTACATCAAAATTTAAATAAAATGTCCTAAATCTCTATTTAAAAACTCTCCTATTTCCATTCTTAATTCCCACTGAGAACTTTCACCACCAATAACTTTCACCTTCTCATGAGTGGAATGATTCATCTTATACCGCTTTTTCTCCATGGACAAACTCACTTGAGCATGTGGAATTATTTATCTTCCCATTATCCCAAATCATTTATATATATAAAAAAGCGTTTTTCATAATTAAAATGCAATGCAGATTATTTCTATAAAAAGTGTGTTTTCCATAATTAAAATGTAATGAAATATTCCTTTTTAGTAAGCAAACAAAACATCCCGTGATTTTCAATGTTTGGAGAGCACATTGAAGAACTTGCAACCTAAGATTGAGACGCCAAAACGACACCGTAATCTGTATCAGTATCACTCAGCATACGGCATTCAACACCACACCAGTGTTGTAACTGTGAACCTTTCCGGGAGAATCAACAACAACAACAACAATGGAGGCGCCGCCATTTGCTTCTTCTGCTTCCTCTTCCTCTCTCTTCTCTCTTCGCAACAAACCACTCCTACCCGCGAGATTCTCCCATTTAGGCAATACCAAACAATCCAGAAACTTCTCTGTTCGCGCCTCCTCTTCTTCTGGGGATTCTGGTTCGTTCTCAAGACACCCTTTTGGAAAAATCTTCTCCTTTTATCTTCTACTTTGTTTTCTTCGTTTCTGGGTATTGGTTTTGTTCCGCAACCTCTCATTTTCTCTTGTTTTTCAGTTGTGACTTTGCTTGATTACGGTGCTGGCAATGTTCGGAGTGTCAGGAATGCTATCAGATTCCTAGGGTTTGATATTAAAGACGTGAGCTTTTTGCCTCATTATCTAATGGGGTTGTTTTACTTTTTTTTTTTTTTGTGTGGTCTTGAATCTGAAGCTATTTTTTCTTTTGCTAGGTGCAAACTCCAGAAGATATTTTGAATGCAAATCGGTTAGTTTTTCCAGGTGTTGGAGCATTCGCTGCGGCCATGGAGGTGTTGAGCAAAACTGGGTATTTTTTATTATTATTTTATTTTGTTTAGTTTTTAAATATTTTTCTTTGATGATTTAGTAGTAGTATAGTAGTGCTGTGCTTGTGATAACTGCTGGGTTAAAGTAGTAGGGTATTGAAGGATAACACAAAACAAGACATTGCTTGTTTTCAAATTATTCAATACTAGTGTTGATCTCTTTTCTTTGATTAAAATTTGCAATGTATATTACAAATGAGTTGAATTGAGACTCCTGTCATCTATCAGAGTTTATAACTACTGTATAAATTGCTAAGAAAGATGAATTGGGGTATAAAATTTCGGGAGAAATCAATTTGGAAGAAATTGGTGGTTGTTTCAGATTTTTACTACAATGTGTAAAAATAAACTCATTTTGTACATCTGAGGTGCCTTTTAAATTTGGTAATGTCTGGATGTCTATTTAGTTCTGCTGAATTTATTGGTTCAGATTTTAAACTAGGGGTTGTCATGTATACATCTGAGTTTTTCTGAGTCAATTTTTAGTTTTGCTGTTTGAATGATTGTACTCTGAATTTTAGCTTGAGCCAAATGTCTTTATTTGTTTTCATTGTTTCAGTATCAATTTTCAACTAATATCATACATTTTGCAGAATGGATGAAGCACTATGTTCATATATTGAAAAGGATCGCCCATTTTTGGGCATTTGTCTTGGGCTTCAACTACTTTTTGAATCTAGTGAGGAGAATGGACCAGGTAAGTTTTAAGTCTTCTTTAGTTTGTTATATTTATTCCTTTGAATTTGATTTTTCTCTGAATATATTTTTAATGTTATAGCATAAATGGATGCCAAGATTTCCATCCACGTAGATGTGAAATGAAAGAAATCAATAATAATCTATATTATATATGTTTCAATATTTTTTTAAAAATATTTTATGAATGTATAACTATGATTCACTTCTCATCCCAGATTTGAAAGATATTTTTGATTGGGCCAATGCTAATGAAAGGATAATCTTTTGTCTTCATATCTTATTTTCAGTGTGTACCATGTACTGTAAGATTTTCTTAAAATTAACTCTAGTTGAAATAGTGCTTCAATGAATATTTTTGGAGCTGATAGAGACATAGTTTATGAGACGAGACACTTGAGATATGAAGAGAAGCTTTGGAATCAATGCCTTATTTATTTAAGTGTAAGACAAAGTTTATGGAATGCAAGTTTAGTAAGACAGAAGTTAGTATGGTCTGGAGGTAAAATTGGGATCGCATCATCCCATAAGTTCATAGGTTTGTTTACCTCAGGTCCATCGAATGAAGTAATGGAATATTGATGACATTCAAGATTGATTCAAGCTAATTGGATGAAATGGAGATATATTTCAGGGATAATATGTGATTGCCAAGTGTCATCAAACTTGAAGATAAATTATAACAACTATACGGTTAATGATATGGTGATTGGTGATTAAGTAGTGGATGTTGGGAAGTGAAGTGCTGCAAGAACCAAAAAAGAAGTGTACTTCACTAGTGAATGAGTGGATACGAGAAAATATAAGGTTTTGAATCAAAGTATCTTGGAGAAGTTAGAGTAGCACCACCTATTGAGAAGATAGAAACTTGCTTATGGTAATTTGGTCATGTATGACAAAGACCAATAGGGGCTACAGCGAGAATAAGGGATTGAATGGAAGATAGTCTGCCTGATTAAATTGGGTAGAGGAAGACCAAAGAAAATGCAACCCATCAAATTATTTGGCTATGAACTTGCCGTGACAATGCACATCACCCTCAAATGTTGTTTTTTTGTCAGACTATTGATTTCTTAACTTGGATAACTGGGTCATAAAGAATCATTGAGAGTGAACTGAGTCATTTGTTTAAATCTGTAGCCTAGTAATTTTTTTTTCATGCTTCTCAAACATACAAGGAGAATGTGGGAGAGATTGCTCTCTGGGTTAACTGAAAGCTTAATTTCCTGATCACTATAATAGCAAATTACCTTTTTATTTACACTTTTAATAAAAGTATTGAATGGACAAATATGCTTGTGAATCAGTAAAAGGTCTTGGCTTAATACCTGGAACTGTTGGGCGATTTGACTCATCAAATGGTTTTAGAGTGCCACATATTGGCTGGAATGCTTTACAAATCACATCAAACTCGGGAATTTTGGATGATGTTGGAAATCACCATCTCTATTTTGTGCACTCTTATCGTGCCATGCCTGTATGTCTCCACTTTTCTTTGAAAATCTCCTTGTTGCTTTGGCTATCACATTCTTACTGTATATTTTCATTAAGGCGTTTAAGTAATCTGGGTTGTTTCATTTTCTCAGTCAGATGACAACAATAAATGGATATCCTCCACCTGTGACTATGGTGACAAATTTATAGCATCTATTAGAAGAGGGAATGTGCACGCAGTTCAATTTCATCCTGAGAAAAGCGGAGGCAAGTTTTATCTTCCTTCCCAATCCTTTGGTTCTGTCCCCCTCTCTCTAATATACAGAACCCTTAATCATGGAGGCTGCGATTTTTTTTTAAAAATTTCTATTCTTCATTAGCTTGAAATTTGAAGTAGTATACTTGCATGCATTATTTTTTTTTACAATCCCTGCTCCCTTAGAGAAAGAATTGAAGGATGATATTAGTTTCCAATTAATTGACAAAGATTTAAATGAAAAATTGAAAAAGAAATAGGAAATTCAAATTGAAAATTTCCACTTGTATCTGATATTTTTTATAAGTTTTGCATTTCCAATCTTTTTAATGGCTGAAAACTTCACTCTTCCTTTGGGGAAATACAGTAATTCGTTTGAGATATTTTTATTTTCTAGGTAAAACAAAATGTTAATTTTATTTTTTGCTTTCTTGTGCTGACTTATTCTTGTTCTGATTCCTGAAAATAATATTCTCAGATGTTGGTCTCTCTATTTTGAGAAGATTCTTGAATCCGAAGTCAAATGTGGCAAAGGTGTCCTTGATACTTTTCTATGCACTTCTTCTGCATCATAGTTATTATACTCATTTTGCTTTAACATATGGTGACTAACCACTTGTAACATTCATTTGAAGACAGAAGCTTGGAGAAGGCAAAGCTTCAAAACTTGCAAAAAGGGTAATAGTCATGGAAGCCCTTTTGTGCTTTAAAACTAAATTAATATGTATTCTTGGCCTCTTTGTATTCATTATTTATTTTGGGTTCCTAACCAAACCTTTGTCTATTAAGGTGATTGCTTGTCTTGATGTGAGAGCAAATGATAAGGGGGACCTTGTTGTAACCAAAGGAGATCAGTATGATGTAAGAGAACATACAGAAGAGAATGAGGTATCAAAGATAATACTCATTTTTTTACTATATGTTTTTTGAGTTTGCTTAAAATTCAGAGAGTATATGTCAAAACACTGGACATGTATACAATATAAGAACCATGTAGACATTTTTTATTTTTTTACTGTCATCTCATTAACTTTTAGTATTAAAGAGTAAACCTGTATGTGTAATATCTTATGATGCTATTTTAATTGTTAGGTTAGAAATCTTGGCAAGCCAGTTGATCTTGCTGGACAGTACTATAAAGATGGAGCTGATGAGGTATGCTTTTGACTATTTGTTCTTTTTTTATGAAACATATTCTTTTTCTTTTAAACTAAACTTAAAGATTGGGTGCAGGTCAGCTTTCTAAACATTACTGGATTTCGTGACTTCCCTCTCGGTGATTTACCAATGCTGCAGGTTTGTAAATGTGCCAAAATGGAAGTTTTTGTGTTGGGGTTAGATTATATTTTATCCTCTGTTCCTTTGGTTTCATGCTTGCTATGTGTTTCATAGGTATTGCAATACACATCAGAAAATGTTTTTGTACCCTTAACAGTTGGGGGAGGAATTAGAGATTTCACAGATTCCAATGGAAGGTATTATTGTTGATCATTATGGAGATTATGCCATTAACTTTCTTGCCACATTTTTTTTATCAATTAAAATTATCCAGTTTTGTAGTTTTATCATTGTGTTCCTTCAGAATTTTTGAAGCTTTTTCATCTGAACAATTACATTCTCAGGTACTATTCTAGTTTAGAAGTTGCCTCAGAATATTTTAGGTCTGGGGCTGATAAGATTTCCATTGGAAGTGATGCAGTTTATGCTGCAGAAGAATATATAAGAACCGGAGTACGGAATTCAACCCATTGCTTGTTTCTATTAAAATACCAATATATGTGTCTCTTCTGATGTTTCTATGACTGTCACATTTAGGTGAAGACTGGGAAGACCAGCTTGGAGCAGATATCAAGAGTTTATGGGAATCAGGTAAACTAACAGCTGATAGTTATGCCTGCTCTGTTTTCCTATCCATGCATCGATGTGTACTTGATCTAAATTATAAAGTAGTCAGGTAAACCTTTTTCCCCCATTTTTATAAAATAACTGACCTGAATTATTTTCATGTTCTTTCAAAGTAATGTATTATGTTGCCTATCAGGTTTTATTACAAATATTATTTTAATAATGATGAATTATTTGTAAATGGTTTTTATACTAGTTTGGCCTGTTACACCTAGTTTCTCCTGATTATAATGGTATTTTAATACATTGAATACAATAGGTGATTTGAATATGCCTAATGAGTTCTATTTGTAGTTTGGATGTTCAGAATTATCTTAATTTTTAACCTATCTTTAAAATAAGAAAAGTATTTAACTTATGAAAATCATAAGAAGGGTAAATTTTAAATATTTTATGCTACAATTCTTCATGTAAAACGAGAAGTTATAATGTGTTTGATGCAACCAGGTAACTGCTTGTCTTGGGCATAATCACTATTCAAAAATTAGAAATGTTGTACACCATTTGGCAACCAGCTTTATTGAGATGCATGGAATATATGGTTAACAAAGCTATAATGGGTAGCTTGGTTTGATAGTTGGGATAAGTTTTTTTTTTTTTTTATAATTTTTTTAAAGAAACTGAGGTACATGCAATATCCTCTTACGTATAGGGATAGTAAATTTGTTAAATAATCAATAAATTCAAATTGGACCTAGGAAATCCCATTGTAGTCTAGTATTAATTATTTTTGAGTTAAGTGCCTATTGATAATAGATTATAGGTATAATTAAGCATTTGGTCCCTACGACTTGTTCACACTGCATTTTAGTCCCTATATGAGCAATTTTTTTCTTTTTGTTTTGTTTGTGCACGGACTAAAACATAAAAATATGTTTGTGTAGGGACTAAAACGTAGAGTTTCTAGGAATCATAACTAAAATGCAAAGGTGAGATAATTTATAGGAACCAAATGATTAGTTAAACCTAGATTATATTAATCCAAAGCAGATGAAAACGGACCAATTATTTACCTGTTATAGTTTCTTCTTCAGGGAGATACTAAAGAACCTCTTTGCTGAAGTGATTTATAAATGAATTGGCATGATTCTTCAATACATGGTTATCGGTATGTGTGACTGATGCATGCATGTATAGATTCAATTCTCATTCTAATTAATTTTCAATTTTCAGGCAGTGGTTGTTAGTATTGATCCCCGTAGAGTGTATATAAAGGATCCTAATGATGTGCAATTAAAGACCGTAAGGGTTTCAAGTCTAGGTGAAGATCTTTCTTTTTTCTTTTCCTTTATTTTATATTTTATGCCTCTGAATTATCTAAATTCTTACTTTAATAAATATGTGGAACATTTTTCTTTGGAAAAATATGCAAGAGACAGATCTGGCCTCTTTTAAGGCGGTCCTAAAGAATTATGCCTAGTAATTACTTGAAGTTGAAGTAGAGATTTCCTATAATATGTTCTGTTTATTTTTTTTCTTCTGTTGTCATTTTCTCCCCCATTTCCGTTTGTGTAACTGTTATTCATATTACTTAATATGGGGGACTATGGGTATGTTTTTAGATTCTGTTGTGAGTTTCCACCATTTGCCCCTAACAAATTAAGCTACATCAAGGTTATCGATAACTGTTAGCAGTATATGGTGGTGAGCAAAAAATCCTTTATAAATATACGGCAGATGACACAGCAGCCTATGATGGACTAAAAAGAATATTTATATACAAAAACAAAAAAAAAAACAAACAGAAAAAATAAATTAAAAACAAAAAAATATCAACTTAAATAGTTAAATATGAAAACAACAATATCATAATTCATTCAAGTCTCCTAACTTTATTAAAACACAACAAAAAAGTTGAAAGACAACAAAACGCATTTTACTAATTTAATTTTAATCATCCTCCTAATTCCCCTCATCTTCCTCAATGTAATTTTCCATGTTAGAACGAAATACGAACTCAAATAGATGGAGATGAAGAAGAATAAAAGATGAAGAACAAGAACTCAAATAGTACAAAACAGATGAAGAATCATTGAATAGGTGAAGAGGAAGAAGTAAGGAAAAAAAGCTGCTTTGAACCTCACCCCAAAGTTTGGTAGAGTGAGGAGCCGCTGAGATTCAGGTTCCCCAAGTTGAACGATGGTTTAGAGAACCCTAGGGCAGTAACATTTGGGGTTGGGAGCAACAGTGTTCTAAGTTCGGGGCAGTAGCGATTGGGATTTTCTTTAAAATGGGTTGGCTCGAATCGGATCAGAAATCCTAAAATGTTCTTTTTAATTATTATTTTTTTAAAAAAATGGCATATCCATCATGACCACCATAAACCTTTATGGCACGACAGTCATGGTGGATATGATGGATGCCACCATAAAACGCCAAATAATGGATGGCAAATGATGATTTTCCAGGAGATTGTTCCACTTTATAATGGTTATTTAATAACATTGAGTTGTATACAGTACTCTTTATTGATGTAATAATAGGATTGTTTTTTTGGGGGAGGAAATGTGGCCAAGACTGCAGCAGGGTAATTTGTTGCTATTTCTATTTGAGAAATGATACATGCACGACAATTTGAACAACGGAGAGAGAGGAATAGAGGAGAGAGAGAAATTTAAAATATAGTAAATGATGTGATAGAGAGGAATTGACATAGAAAATGTTGTAAGAGTTGTTTCATAAGGTGTTATACTTGTATGTTGTATCATTACTCTAATTTAGTTACAATAACAGGCTCTGGAAGTGCATTTAGGAAGTAAAACAGAGAAGATGCTCTTTTATGTGAAATATATTGAATATAAAAATATTCAAAACTATTTTTATCGGTTTCAGGTCCAAATGGAGAAGAATATGCATGGTATCAGTGTACAGTAAGTTTATTTTCTCTTTTTTCCATATTTTTTTATCATGTCCAGTTTTCCACTTAACTAAATCTCTTATCCTTGTTATTTTTATTTTTATTTTTATTTTAAATATTGTACATCAAATAATGGATAATACTAGAGAGACAACTTCTAGAGAGGCTAAAAGAGCCATAACTAGTGTGCAGAGCTGTTAGATTGGTTATGGGTAAATACATGATTAATGTGATCCTGCATATATCTAGGGTGATCTAATGAATTAAGGGTATAAAAAGAAATTACCAATTAACATATTTAAAATTAGATCCATGTTTCTTATATATATATAGGAACAAAAGTAGTAGTATTATTTCTTATCTCGGTATTTGTGTTTATTGTAAGGTTAATGGAGGGCGAGAAGGTAGACAAATTGGTGCTTATGAACTAGCAAAAGCAGTTGAAGAGCTTGGTGCTGGAGAAATACTACTTAATTGCATCGATTGTGATGGTCAATCTAATTCTCTATCCTATAACTACATTTCACTATTTTTTTTCTTCATTAAGAGCAACCTTTTTTCTCTAATTTATTTTAAAATTGTTCATTATTTGCAGAAGTTTGACTGTTGTGAAGACCATCATCATCAATGAATTTTAAAAAATAAAAATGACTTATTTGCAATGTTTTGTCATCAAAAGTGGAACGGATAAAAAATGATATCTTTGGTTCTTATCTAATCTCTTCAACCTTTTTCAGGGAGTTGCTATTTCTTACATGCAAAGAGATTGGGTTGTTTTGTTGCATTAATGAGATTTTTCTTCTTTATTATGTCTAATTTTTCCTATTTTGAATGACCTCTTATTCTCCTTCTATTTGTACTTTCCTTTCTATCTCTTATAAACATTTTTCTATATGAAAAAAAAATGGTAGATTTTTGGGCTAATTTTATTATGGTCCTGTTTGTGTAAACCTTTCTGTAAACTTGTAGGAGGAAAAATAAAATAAGCTTTTCTTATAAGTTAAAAATAGCTTATACATAAATTATAATCAGTTTTTTGAAGAAGCTAAATGATTCTAGCTTGTCAAAAAAACTGACTTTATCTTATGTACAAGTTAATTTTAATTTATAAAAGTTTATTTCATTTCTTTTTCTTATTTTCTTCTTTTATAAATACTTATGGAGAAATTTATCTGAAATGTTGGTTTTATTATAATCTCTTATTATTTTTTGTCAATGTTTCAGGTCAAGGGAAGGGATTTGATGTTGATTTAATTAAGTTGATATCAGATGCTGTTAGTATCCCTGTGATCGCAAGTAGTGGTGCTGGAGCTCCTGAACACTTTTCTGAGGTTTTCAATAAAACAAATGCATCAGCAGCACTTGCTGCTGGCATTTTTCACAGGAAGGAGGTATTACTTCTGTTTTCTCAATTTCTTAATGCCGAGGAGAATGATTTTAATTTGATATCTATGTTTTGTCACCGATCAATTATTTCATCGATTCTCATTTATTAGTATCAAGAGTATGTTTTGAAACAAAAACTATGATATGGTTTCTTTGGTGTTTCTTTGAGAAGCTACTATTTCTTTCCTAGAAACTAGAAAGTACTATTTTTTTCTTTCTTTCTAGATTCTACTTATTTTTAAAGTTTATGTAATAATGTCCAAATTATTAGACATTTTTTGGTTCAAAAGAACACCTTACTTAAAAAGAGTAGCACTATCAAGTGGGCCTATGATACATTACAATTGCTGGTTTAGTCAATGTGTCATATCTATATGTAATTAATTTGATATAATTAATGTGTCATAACTACTATTCCTTCGTATCCTTATTAGAATACTTATCATAAGCCACAATTTAGAAGTAAATGGTGATTTTTTTTAATAATGCACTTTACAATTTTTATAAAATATTAATTTATTTTTTTTAATCTTTTTGTTCCTATTAAATATATTGAGAACATGTGCTTCTTATTGTTTAATAATGAGAAGATAATTTAAGAAATAAATGTTCTTCCACCTTCTAAACTTTACAATTACCATTTAACAATTTTATTGGTATTGATGCATAAGCATTGTAATAGAGTAGTCTTTTCACCCGTCCCATAAAAATTTAATGATAAGTAAGAAGGGTAAAATTTGTATATCATGGTTTTGTTTTATAAATCCAATATAATCAACTAACATAATTGCTTATATTGGTTCATGTGAGTTTGTTAAAATTGCTTTATAATAAAGCCTCGAGGGAGTAATTTACTTAAGGTTAAATTATACTTTCGATCCCTTTATAAAATGAAATATGTTATTTTGGTCCCTATTTTTAATTTTGCAATTTTAAACTTCTAATTTTATAAAATTTATAATTTTGGTTCCCTTATCAAATATTCATCTATCTATTAATTGTTAAAATTGCAATGTTAATTATGATATGATATTGCTATCTATTTTAGATGTGCTTGAAATGGTAAAACTAGGCACTTGAAAATGGATAAAAGTGAGAGATAATTCTTTCATACTCATTTTCTTCTTGGGCTGAGTCACCTTTCATATGCCTTAATTTTTATTAAGTGATTTTGATGGTGATTATTGCAATCTGGGTGTGTGATTTTGACTTAGTTGCGGCAATGCTTTTAACAATGGTGATTAGTTTCACTTTATAGTTGATAGTCTTTTTTTGGATTGCTAGTTTGGTTGTTCCACCTATTGGTGTAATGTTTTTTATTGTTTGATGATTGCAAATTGATTTTAGGAGGTATGTATTTATTGTGTTGTTTTCATTAAACACCTCTTGATGTCAGAGGTCCACTACTTACTTTGGTTATGTTGTGTATATGGGTTGGAGTACTCCTTGTATTCCTCTTATTTAATTCAATTTTGCTTAGCAAAAAAATTATGATATGATATTAAGTATGATATGAAATCAAAATTTAATAATATTTAGGCTAAATTTTATTTTTATTTCTTATTATCTCAAAAGTTATAAAATGAGGTGAAAATGAGATGAAAATAAGAACTAAAAATACAATTTGATCTAATTATTATTAAATATTAGTAATTGTGTTATTTATTTAATGTTAGATTATAATTAATGTTATAATTTTAACACTAAATGGATGAATATTGGATTAGAATATCAAAATAGTAGATTTTATAAAATTGGGAGGTTAAAATTGTGGAATTAAAAATAGAGGATTAAAATTGTAGATTTGATATTAGAGATAAAAAGCACAATTGTACATTTAATTAATATAGAAAATTAACCATTTCCTGAGTGATTAGTTTGATATTATTGAGGAAGTGATTTTGAGTTTTCCGTCAATTGCAGGTTCCTATTCAGTCGGTAAAAGAGCATCTGTTGAAGGAAGGCATAGAAGTCCGGATCTGATCATACATTTAGTGGCAATTTTTTTTAATATATATATCGACTTCTTACTTAATAAGCAAATATTGTATGTCATAACTTGCGTAAACTAATATTATGACAGCATTTTGAATCAAGAAAAGATTTTCATGTGTGACTTTTGTGATAGTTTTAGGTAAATACATTTATCATTAATTTACCACGAGCAGCACTATCTACCACTCACTATTTGTTATCATAACACTTTATATCATTATTGCGTAACTCAACTCGATTCGACTCAGGTTTATTTTGACGGATTTAGATTTTGAAAATAGTTTGGGTGCATATTCAAGATGAATTTGGGTTACGTTTTGGACTCTCCAACTTAATTTGACCTATAATGTTTTCTTATAAAGTATAAGTTCTTTTGAATTATTGTACATTAATATTAAAAATTATTAAATTTTATAACTCAATATTATATTTATAATATCATTATTTATCTTAAAATATATCATAAATTATACTTTAATTTAAGTTTTATACTTTTTTTATTTTATGATTTAATTATATATAATGTTAAAATTAACATAGTATAATAAAGTTGAGTCAACATGATATGTTTCATATATTTTTGAGTTTTGATTGTGTTGAGTTTAAGCTTAAAAAATTATTTAAACAAGAAATTAGGATGAGTTATATAAAGATAAGTACGATCCATGCTCACCTCTATCATTATCAATAAAAAATACTCTTCGTTTTCTTCTTATTATTTAAGTATTCTTTTATTGGAAGTTTTTTTTCATCATATTTTTCATTTTGGTAGTTTTAGTTTGTTTGATTTTATTACTATGAGGAATTAAAGTATATATATATATATATATATATATATATATATATATATATATATATATAAAAAATTTTTATCTATTTGAATTTTT